GCAAATCGACCAACCTTCAATCTCTTAATTTACAAATAGAAGTGATGTACTTTGCTAATTTGTTGATAGTGCTCCTCCCCTTGTTCTTGGAGTTCAACCCAATTTGTCATTCTGGTTTTCCGCTGCAGACTCACGAGGGACTTTTGACTTCTAAAAATAGTGTGAAGTTTTGATGTTCTCGCATTTTTGAATGTCTATCCAGCAATGACTAACTCCTAAAGTCTAATCATCGTCTTTTTTTTAGAAACAAACGACGCGCAGCTTGACATTTTCATTCAGAATGCATCGAGCTATCATGTGCCCTACGAATGTTTTCTTCTCGCTTTTCTTCTGACGAAATATTCTTTGTTCCTTGCGCGATTTGCATAGCTAAGGATTGATGTAATGAATAATATCGGATGGTCTGAATAAGCATGTTGTCATTCTTCTTGTATATGATAACTACAGGAACAGAATGAATGAATAAGCAACGCATGCATGCATCAATGAACGATTGATTGAAGAGAAAATATCGGATTAGGCAGAGAATTCGTTAAGCACATTTTGAGGCACTATATATAGTAGGTTAACGTAACACGAGAGGATACTCAGATGGATCAAAAAATTCATTATATTCTGGAGTATGAGTAGAAATTGACGCTAAAGAAAAATCTTGAATACTACAAAATCAAATCTTAGCGAGAGCTCGAGAATATACTTTAATTCTCAGTGCAATTTTGGAAAGCTAACTCCAACCTCCGCACATACCGTGCTTTCTACCGTACCCGAGGACGCTGGTTGGTCCTTTGGAGCGAGAATGGTTTGGGCGGAGCTTGAAGTTGAAGGTTTCTTTGAATGAATGTAAGCTACCGCATTTGCAATGGCTTAGTGAGATTTGTATCCGTACTCACATTAAAAGTCCAAGTTCCTAGATTTCCTTAAGACTTTTTACGAAAATGATGCTAAAATTTTCTTTTGATAATATTGATACAAACGCATGCTTTCCTCCCCCCCCCTCACCCCTCGAGAACTCGCGAAATTTTGAAACATGCCTTCAATGTTGTAAAGCTGCGCAATGTACACTCGTGAAATATTCAAAAATTTCAAAAAATTAACAGTTTTGTAAACTAGCTTTATGAAACTTGTAGCTTCCACGCTTTTTCATTTGAAAAAGAATTCTGTTGCCCCTCCCTAAATAATTTTTCAGCCGCCATTGATTCCTCCAAATCATCATAATGCTCACACTCTAATAGATTTCGCAATTCTGATTCTGTGAAATTTAAATGTAACAAAGAGTTTTTTGTATCCATCGAAACATCAGCATCAAAACACTATAAGTATTTCATGCTCGAAATACTAATTGTTTCATTTTGTCATGCAATAATACTTACCATTTTTTCTTTTTTCAAATGTTTTCCTCAATTAGCTCATCTTGAATCTCATGCAGGAACGTCATATCAAGATTCCCTTTTGATTTAACTTCTATAAAAACAAAATTCTCGATCATCTCTTATGCAAACTCTGCGATCCAGCACGATTTGAATGAAAGGTGAGAGAATGATTGACGAGATGCAGAATTAGGGATCGGTCAGAGTTTGCCGGTGTTGCAAGTGTTGCCGGTGTTGCAAGTGTTGCCGGTGTTGAAAGTGTTGACGGTGTTGCAAGTGTTGACGGTGTTGCAAGTGTTGACGGTGTTGCAAGTGTTGACGGTGTTGAAAGTGTTGAACGGAGATCACCAGTTTAGCAGTTTCATTCTTTCTCGAACGATCTCACCGGCTGGTGAATATGTTGGAAATGGAATTGGGGAATGAGAAATGAAATTGAAATGATGGGAGATTTTCGCATGCAAAAGATCCCCTAACAAGCTTTTTGGAAAGTGGACGGCTTGTCTGGAATAGGCAATCTCCAGTATTTGAAAACGCTGCAGACCTCAATTAGGTCGTTTATTCACTAATCGCAAGCGCAGCAGGATTCGAACTAAAGCACGTTACTGCTCAGACGTCAGCTTTCTCAAATATTGGAGATTGCCTATTCCAGACAAGCCGTCCACTTTCCAAAAAGCTTGTTAGGGGATCTTTTGCATGCGAAAATCTCCCATCATTTCAATTTCATTTCTCATTCCCCAATTCCATTTCCAACATATTCACCAGCCGGTGAGATCGTTCGAGAAAGAATGAAACTGCTAGACTGATGATCTCCCTTCAACATTTTCAACACCGTCAACACTTGCAACACCGTCAACACTTTCAACACCGTCAACACTTTCAACACCGGCAACACTTGCAACACCGGCAAACTCTGACCGATCCCTTATGAACGGCTGTTTGTATCAGTATGTGAGCAGGTTCAAGTGGAAGAATGACTGAAATAAAGTACAGGCGAACGAACTCAATCAATTCTTTGAACTGGGTTAGGCGTAAAAATCCTTCCCATACGATTATAACTCTCTTAAAGCCCTAAAGATTGCGAGCCGAATACTTTTTAGCTTCTTTACGATTTCATAAAAGTTTCTCCCGCTCTCTATGCGCCTCAGTAGTCTGTTGGGCTTTCACTCAACGGCTATGGTTTATTTTAATCTCTAGTAAGTATTTTGAGCGGCGCATTTCAATTTTCATCTCCTTGTATTTTTTATTTAACTTTGCTCGGCAAATAGTAACATAGTAGTACATCTAAATTCATGTTTTGCTAATCTCTGGCCATTAAGCCCTTCTCTGACGTCACTTTCGTTCATAAATTTGCCTCTTTTGAGTCAGGCACCCTCTCAATCATAGTAATTTGTCTCCCAGTTGATGCGATGCACTCAATCAGAAATGTTTGCAACTTCTTTGAAAATTTCGACAATTAGCGCCAAAACGTGTTTTTCATATTTTTGTGCCATAATCGAAGAGAAAATGAGTTCATTTTCAATTCACAATTTTTGCTGTAACCAAGTTTTGCATAGTTGATTTTCTGGCGCAGAAAATTTACAAATGAGCGTTGATCACAACAGTATTCTCACAGAATTCATTATAACTTCGAGTCATTTTTAACTTAATATGTGAGATTGCACACTAAGCCCTGTTAGGGACGGCACCCTTACTTTTAACTTTCCACTAAAACATTTTCAAACCTAACAAAGTGTGGAAATGAGTTCTATTGACTAAATGTAATCAGCAAAAACAAAGAGACAAGGAAACGAGCAGAAGTCACTGAAAATGAGCAGGCTCTAGTTTTGCTGTTCGTCAGTTAGTGTGTTTCAGTGTGCCCTACGCATATTAAGTTACGAATGACTTGACGATACTTCTCTCTATGGTACCTATATGGTAGAAATTCTTATATGAGCAAGAAACGGTATCATAATTTTTCCTCTAGGCTTTTTTTATAGCTTTTGAAGATTTCCATTGGCGGTGCAATCTGCTCCGATCACAATGCGCGCCCTCAAGCAATCCGGAGTTGACTATGCCTGCCTTTTATTCTCTCCGCTCTTTTTTCCTTTCTTGTTATAAATTTTTGTTATCATTCTCGCGAGGAGGAAGGTGGAAGTAGACGTGTTGGGGAAAGGGGGGGGGGGCAGAGAAGAAGTGAAAAGCGAGTGAGCGAGATGTGGAGGAAAGGGACAAGTGCTGGACCGGTAGATTTCAGAGGTAGAGGGCTATATGTCGTCAATTTGGGAGGGTCTCGCGCGGATATTCCAGCAGATACTCAGCCTGTGCAGGTATTGAAAGGTGTATTTGTCGCAGATGTCCGGGGGGACCTCCCACTTTGCGCGACATGTAGTCGTCCCCTACCCGAATTTAGGTTCCGACCACGGAGTAAAACGCGTTCGGCGCATGATGCAGAAATTGTAGAAATTTTCAAATTGTAAAAATAATAAAAAAGAGGTCTTTACAATTATTTTTACAATTGTCAATTATTTGTGGAATCAGAGGAAATGGAACTTTATAGCCTTCAACTACTGCACATTGAAATTTCTACAACTCTGGAGACAGCAGTCTCTGGAAAAATTTGCTGTTTCAAAAAGGATTGATTTTCAGAAGAACTCGTACGAAGTGTTAGTCATCATAGTCTCAACGTTCTGTCTAGGTTACCATATTAAAGCGCTGAAATCTCCTAATCAGAGTCTAATTACTACGGTTACAATCATTTTTTATTGCACACCAGAACAAATTTTCTATAAAGTGCCAATTGAAATTACCTTATCGGATTTGAGAAAGAACCCTCTCTGTTGTCGGTTCCTTAGAAAATTTACCGTGGCGGACAATTCACGCGCAATCGCAAACCGAGTAGTTTAGCCGTCTGCGTATCTTCTACTTCTCTTCTCTCTTCGCAAAAAGTGCCGCAACCGCGCCGCTGCTGAGGACGCACATGCTTTTTACCTGCGTTGTTGACTCGTTTACAAAGCTTGGAGAGGATTTTATTAGCAACTAGTTGACTTACCCGGCTCCGCCCGGCCCTGTCATTATTATATTCGTAATCAGCATGCTTGATTACCCCCCTGTGCCAACTCCCAGCCCCGTAGCTCAAATTTTGCAAAAAATCGATAAAATCGATATCGATCGAAGGCGAAAAATAGCCTATGACACCCGCCGGGGCCCGAAGTGTATGTGTGCCAAGTTCGGTCTGGATTGGTTCAGAAATGGAATTTTTTATTCGGAACGTACGTACAGACATACAGGCAGACAGACAGACAAACAGACATTCAGCTTTATATATAAGATTATTGGCTTTCTTTTTTGCATTCTGCGTCTCCGTATGCTTTTAAAAAGCGCTCACTAGAGAATCTTCTACCGGAAGAACCTCATAGAAATTTTTTTTCGATTTCAAACAGAACATTTTGTGACTTATGGAAAATATCTGGAAATCCGAGAAAAATTATTGTGATTATTTGGAGTAAAGCCTATGCACTTCTCCTATGACAGTCTTCTTTCTTTAGTCCTTATGAATTAATTGAATAATCTGGCAAAATTCTTTTTCACATTTCTGTTTCTTTTTCTCATTCTCTTTCCCTTCTTTTCTATTCCTACAATCTTCCTTCACTACCGATGAGTTCCGGGAAGATTGTAATCCTATATTTCCGTAAAGTGAGTTGGAGCGAAAGGAAAATATGTAATTATATGACTTTTTGCTTTAGTGATAAAATAGAATAGCATTAATTTTTGAAGCCGCTTGGACTGAGAATGCCGTTTATTTCTCCGCTTTAAATTACTGTACCATTTTAGAGCCTAATCGTTGAAATATTTTAATTAACATTTTCCTGGCCGAGGCTTAGCAATCCTTGCATAATTCTAAACTTAATATTATTTGAAGGCGATTAACGTCAGTCCTCCTCCCCCTCCCTCTCATAAGATTAATATTAACTGTTTTTCCCATTTCTCGCTCATGCAATATCGTAATTATGATATCATTTTACTTCTTTTAAACTCTTAATACCATAATGACGCTCTCATCGTCTTATTCGAACCCTTTGAATGCCTGCTAGCGAAGCCTCTAATTGCTGCCATTCTACTTTCAACAATTTTTCTTGTTTACCCAGTCAGCTTTCTTTTTCGGACTGTTTTTGACATCGTTTCAAAACTCGTTCGTCCATATGTTCTCACATTTTTCAAGAATAATGTTAAATCTCATGTGATATATCATGTCGAAACAGATGTGCCAGTGAAAGATCCCTCTTTTTACTTAGGGCCGCATGCACTAACATCCCCGCGGGGAGGGGATAGCAGCTTAAAAGAAAGCTTTATATTTTGAAACTCCAGATACCTGGATTTCACATTGTGTACCTATCCGTAAGTATTCCTACTACCCTTCACTATGAACATGTTGAAGAGGAGCGAGAAGCTGTACGAACCGCATTTTCCAGCTTTTGTATGATCCCTGATGATCCCCGGCACTTTTCTTTAGAGTCATTTTTCTTTCTCCGAAGTTAACGAAAAAACTCCAAAGTTGTGCAGATTATCCAACCCGACAGTGCTAAGCATGTTCGTGATAAGAACAAATGATGTTTTGAAGTCATGAAATTTTCGATGATCCACAGGTCGAGATTTGACGTTTATCGAAAAATTCGACTTTTCAAAAACTCATTTGTTCTCATCAGCAACATCCTTAGCACTGTTGTGTTAAATGTTCAGTACAGCTTTGGAAAGTTTTCGTTAACTTCGGAGAAAGAAAAATGACTTTAAAGAGAAGCGCCGGGGATCATCAGGGATCATACAAAAGCTGGAAAATGCGGTTCGTACAGCTTCTCGCTCCTCTTCAACATGTTCATAGTGAAGGGTAGTAGGAATACTTACGGATAGGTACACAATGTGAAATCCAGGTATCTGGAGTTTCAAAATATAAAGCTTTCTTTTAAGCTGCTATCCCCTCCCCGCGGGGATGTTAGTGCATGCGGCCCTTAGAATTGCTCTTTTTAAGCTCTGCGATGCTAGTTTATCTTATTGTTAGAATGCTTTTGAAAACGGTCATAAATAATCGAATTTCTCTGCTAAAAGCAAAACTTGTATGGAGACTATAGCCGATTTTGTAGCTTGAATTTTATGTAGAAGATTGTGAAAAATGGACTTTTCTTGAGGATAACTTAAATCAAAAGAGCGAGAGTATATCCTTAGAAATGCAGCACGCCATCGGCAATCCATGAGATGCACAGATTTTTTTGGAGGGGGAGGAGGACGAAAAAAGTTTTCGATCAAAAGACCATAGCATTTACTATGTATTCTGGAACGTTTATACTCTCCTAGTGGAATTTTGTCCTACGTAGCTGTCGTTATCCTCAAGTTTTATAGCTTTTCCATTATAGGTAACTGGCAATAAGTACTTGCATAAATTTCTATTTCTCATAAATTTTGAGCCCTTATACACAGTTTCTCGCTCATCCGCTCCATTGTGCGCAAAACCATTTTCAATTATTCAAGTAAGGAGTGAAGGTTTGTATACGCATTACTATCCCTACCCCTCCCCCCTCCGTGCAGGAAGGGCTAGATATTTCGGCCCACGTGAGTAGTAACAATTATTTTTTTAATCAAAAAAATGACTTGTATAGACTTTTAAAAATTTAGGTCAGTTGTTGGGAAATTATCGTTCAAAGGGATGCGGGATTGCGAGCTTACAAAAACATTGGTAAGCTTTTGAAGAAATTATTTTTGCGTGGCGCGGATATCTAAGGTCACGCCCCTTCCTCTGCAAAAATTACTGCCCTCTCGCCCTGAGAGAATTTTCTGGACCGCCATTGATACATTCATGGTGTTCTTTCTAACCTAATTGAGAAAGAATAGACGGCAATCGACGTCAAGGTTTCTATTGAGATATATGTTGTTCAGATGGCAGTAACAAAAAATCTACAAACTCATCGATTTTCTTCCGGAAGGCGTATTAGGCTAAAGTCACGCCCCTCCTTCCAAGATATTTTTGCTCCGCCTCCTTTGCCGACGATTTCCTGCGATGCATCGATACTCATGTTTTGGCTATTTTGAAAATTAGACAGCATTTGTACGAGATTTTTATGGAATATTATATTCTTTTTGTGCAAGATACGAGCGACGAGCATTTTGCTTGAACACCTGCGTTGGGTGACAACTGCATATTTCCACGTAAATTAAGTTTAAGTTCAGAAAGAGAGAAAGATATCTGGAGGCAAATGGACTAGCTAGCCTCAACATCACATATTTTTTACTGGAGAAAACTTAGAGCAATGATTATTTTATGGAAGAAGGGGTGTTACTCAAGAGTTTTCCTCCTATCTAGTAGTGGAAAAGAATGTTTCTATGCGAATAGAAAGTGACACATACATCAATCATAGTTATTATTAAAAGCTATGAGGTGTCAACATCGCACTCTCACACAGAAACAGAACTCTTCTAAGTGCTGCTAGTCGAATGCTTGCGATTTTGAATCAGCCGCTCCAAAAGTTCTTTTCGTGTCATACTCTGGGGATGCTATTCGCAAAGTTCATTCGATTTTGCGCTTGAGCATCAAAAAGTTTATTTGCTTTCAAGGATGTGCTAAAGTTTTGATAGATTGGAGCGAGAATTGGAAACCGAAGTAGTTCATCATCTTACAGATGTGTGTACGCCTACACTTTAGCTTTCTTGCCAGCAATTTTATGTTTTCTATGGGAATGAAGAAGACGCACGTTGAAGCTATGGAGCTTATGACTGCTTTTATTGCATTTCTTAGAAAATATGATCGTATTCGCAATTTATTGTCAACGTTATAGCTTTCTACAACTGCTTAATGCATGTGTAGAGTCTCAAAAGAAAAAATAAATGTGATAAAAATGTAACCTTTCTAATGAACAGAGCCATTCAATTTCATTTAAAAATAATGCCATGAGTTTTCAAAAACTGCAGTAGAAAAACCGGAAGTATGGGCGGCAAGCAGGTTTCGCACGCGCATCGTACGTCATTACGGACTTCTGCGTCCTTACGGAGACGTAGACGATAAAAGTGAAAAACCGCTTCTTGTGAAAGACGCTGACTTCATTCTACTTTGCCAGGGTTTCAATTACCTCTTTTTGCATTGATTGTCATTCCTTGCGTTCAAAACATTCTGAACTTTGGCAAATCTGCTATATAACCTTTTTTGGAGAATTATCATGAACTATTCTTGCAGCGACAAATAAAATATTCTGCATAATAGCAAAGAACGTACAAGTCAATAACGACAAATCGTCGGAAATGTCGGATATTGCAACATTTGCTTGAAATGGCGCTATGCGAAAAAATCCGTACTTTGAGACCTGGCAAAATAGGATGAGGTCAAGCGTACATTGCACTTCCTTAAAAAAGTATTCAAGATCAATACCATCGGTATATATTCTATCTTGAGAAAAACATACTAAAATGGGTGGGTGCATTTCAAAAGCAGCGGTTTGCGCCACATCCCAAATGAGCTTTTGCAAATCGTTGCAGAACCATGTCTGCGTTCTCTGCTTCTCTTCTATCTCTCTCTCTCTGCGGATGCTTAAGGGCCCTCTACCCAGATTCTTGACGACTTTTAATCCTCCCGGGGCCTTCTCATGTGCCTGATTCTAAATATGAAGTCGAGAATCCGCGAAAACCTCAACAATCCCCATTCCGGAGGATCCACAAGCCGGCATTCCGGAGCGATGATTGGATGGACGCGCATGGATGGGCGGGCATGGATGGGGAGGGCGGTGCCGTCTGAGGGAGGGTCCTCGTGCATAATGTTATTCCGGAGCGATTTTCTCGCTTACGAAGCTACATTTTGCGCTGCAATGTGGACACTGGCTTGATAGGGGGTGCCCTAATATCATATGCGGTTAAAAGCTCAAGACCCGAAATTAGGGTGAAGGGTGCCTTTGAGGAATTGGCCGCGGGACATGCTAAATATCCAAGAGGTTGTGTTTTATTGTATAAACCTTTCTCCAGTAATTGCAGACAATAATTTTTTTTACATTCTATTTTTTACTGGAAACTTGTTGTAGGTGTTAAGATGTAGACAGTTTAAGCAGTCACAGTTCACTACCTATATATCCCGAGTGGGACATAAATTATCTAAAAACTTTGTTCGGCTCTTTGACAAGTGCTGACAATCTGGTTATCTCTTCTTATAGAGGCCTTTTATGCGCTGAGGCAAAAATGTGTTTGCCCCGCCATAGTGCGAGATACCTTGACGTTTGCGAGCAAGCATTACAAAGTCAAAGTTTCCTTTTTTATGGAAACTAATGTCATGCGAGAATCTTCACAGAAACGTCAAACAGTATAGAATAATGTGAGAAATGCGGCTTCGACATTACGTAAATGTCTCATTTTTCGCAGTCGCTTGCATCACGTTTTCTTTCTTCTATTCTTCCGTTGCTATATAGTTGAGAATCGATTAGGAATTGTGATATTTTAGCTGGAGCGGAAATTTTCGTAAAAACTGACTATCACGTCGGCTGGATTGAAATCTGCGCTTGTGGATTTTGCTTGATATTTCAGAGGGGTTTTTTTTTATTGAAACATATGACATGACAGATGCGACTGGCACGAACAATCATTATGCGAGTGGAAGAGGTAGTTAGGCGAGCGTGCTATTCATTTTAAAAATGCTGCTTTCATTGCTTCTAGCTTATTAACTTCCGTTCTCTAGATGACGTTTCTGGAAGCTTGAAATGATGTGGGCCTTCGTCTGCTTTGCAAAAGAAAAACATCCTGTACGCATTCATTGTTGTAACTCGTACGCGTCCCGCCCCCTATATAAGGAGGTGACGAATCACTGCTGCAGCCAACCAATCAGAGGCGTCTACTTTCTGCATACCGTGTTTGGGTATCTCACTTCATAAGCAGGCAATTGAAAAAAATCAAAGCTTACAGATGTCTCCCCGTCATGGAAATGGCGTTCCCAGAATTTCCGTTCGGAGGGGAAAGGCAAAAAAATTTTTCTGATGAAGGTGCTGGAGAAAAAAATTTTTGCATGCTTCTCGAATTTTTTGTGGGCCCATATCCCGAAATCTCAAAAAAGCGTTTTCGGGGCGTGGCTAGCGAGATTTTTCCAATAAGGCTGAATTGAATTTTTGAAAAATCTAAAAAACTAACCTAATATTTACAAGAGTGAATAAGTCATTTGCACATTTTTATAACGCATGTAAGTAACTTTTGAAGACTTCGCTCCCCATTCTGGGGCGTGGGGGCCCCCTCGCCTCGGTACGCTACGCTCAAGGAATAGGGGACGGTGTTACATGCTTCTGCTTTGCGGAAAAACCATCTTTGTGCCTCATTAATTGCGATAACTCGTCCGCGTCCCGCCCCTCATATGACGAACTGGCCAGTCACAGTTACAGCCTGACCAATCAGAGGCATTCGCTCCTGCGAACTGGTTCAAAAGGTTCAATCTCGTTCATAAGCACGCAAATGAATGAATCAAAGCTTAGATTTTGATGTACGTCTTCCTGTCATGCATAGGTGGCAGTGATAGATGTCGCCATTGTCATTAGCATGGTGGCATCTATCACTGCACACCAAGCATTTCTAGTCATGCGAATTTTTTTGTAGGGGTGGCGACAACCGATTTCCTTTCTCAGCATGTCTTAGCAATCGCTTTTCCGCCGTTAACTCGATGATCTGATCCTTAAAGGGAATTTGTTGCTGTGTACTTTCTGCGTAAGGTGTCCTTACTGCTTCTTTGGGCAAATTGACAAATCAAATTCTCATATCTGTCAAAGATTCCTCAAATCAAGTATACTTGTATTCAGCCGTGTCATGTACTATTTAGCTTTTGGTAATTCGCCATATATACAGTTAAGCTCTAACTATTGGAATATTTGTCGCGACATTTCAAAAGTTATAACTAATGTTAAAATAGTTTTTAGAAGATGTCGAAGGTGAGCTGCCGACAAATTACAATTAAGAAATGTCTCAATTATCTTTTTTTTCTTCCTTCTTTTCCCAATAATTAAGAGTTCAGTTGTATACCGGCTAAGAATCTTAATTCTGCAAACCACTGATATTTCATTCATTGAGGTTTGTAGTGTAAGCATAGAGTAATTAAGTATGAACTTTAGAATCCATTAGAGCAGAATTTCCTGAAGTTAGGTAAGCATGAGAAAAAAGGTGTTGAAGGAAGTATATAAATTTCTGGTTTTGTGTGCTTTGAACCCTTTTCTTCAATCCAGGATTCTTCAAGTGCATCACGTATCGAGAAAGTTCTTTTATATATGGAATTTGATTTTTGATTTTAGCTTTTCGTAATTGAAATATTGAAATAGGAGTAATTGTCGTAGATTTTCATTCAGGATTTATTGCGATAAACTCAATAAAATTGCTACTTATGACGCTAAGATGGCTATTCTAATTACTTCGATAAGTGCTGACGCTTTTCAAACCTGAAGAATTGTTTTCTATTTAGATTTTCGGTATAACTTAGATTTCAACTTACCGATACTTCAAAGAAAACTGAAAAATTTTCGTAACATAAGGTCGATTTTTGATTGTGGGTGTTCGGAATCCGTGTATCAGAGAAAAAATATTAGTCATCGTAAAGATTTATTCACGATTTGAAATTTGCCGGAAAATGAAAATATCGGGATAAAGTCAATGGAATTGCTATCTATGGCAATTTGCTTCAATACCGCTCACAGAATGAAAAATTGCAAAAAAATGCAAAATTCCCGCGAATGGCGCGGAATTTCGGGAATTCCGCCGAAGTCCGCGACATTCACGAAATTTTTGCACATTCTGTGAGCGGTATTGTATTTTGAGCTAGGCCAAGAAAACCTAAAAGACCTTGTTTACTCTCAAACTTTCAAAAATAAATTTTTGATTATCGTTACGTTTAGTAAGCTTCGTGGTTTGACCAGGATTTTGTAGGCGTGATCCATCAAAGATTCTATCGACTGCAAAATTCTCCCATCTCAGTTTCCGAGCCAGAATGTGAAATTAGCAAAAAAAAAAACAATTTCTGTTGCGATCTATGCATTTAAGATTTGGAAACTTGGAAAGAGAGCAAAGAAATTTGTGCTAGGGTGTCAGAGACTGATAATTTACGTTTTCTTCAAGAAAGTTGGGCCGTAAATTGCTGTTTTCTTGATAGCTAATATGATATAATTAAAGTGTTTGACTCTTCAAATAATTCCTAAGAATAAGTACGTTGTTATGTTGTATATGTCCATTTGTCGAGTTTGCATTTATTCAGTGATTACACACGAGATGGGTCCTGAAAAGTTGAAAATGAATTTAGTAAATGTTAGTCACATTACAAAGAGGGATGGCAAATTAACTAAGAGGTTAGAAATACCATATCACCACGGCTCGGCATGAGCTGGCACCAGGAAATTTTCAAAACGAAGTCCCCCTTGATTTTCGCTAAGTTTTATGAAGTCCCCTTTGACCCTAAGCCCCAAACGTAAAAAACTTCAAAAAACGAAATGTCGACTAAAAAACGTCGCAATATATCTGATCCCCTTTGCTTTTTGTCTCAAAAACGATATCCAGCTTGCCCCGTGCCAGCTAATGCATGGCCCTGCATATCACAACCTCTGCTTTGGCAGTATTCGAGTAATTTTTTGTATCTTTCTTCTAAACATCAGTGGAAAATTCATTGGGGGGGGGCCTCTTAAGCCTTTGTCCAAGTGATTATTTGTAAAATGTAGCTAAAAAAGATTTTCAGGTTCTAACCCACACCGTAGTTTCTACCTCTTAGAGAAATGATTACTGTCTGGACTAGAGTCTAGAGTTGAATAAGCTGAATTTTTCATGAACTACGTCTCAGTCAAAACGTTCCGAAAAATATCTGAATAAGAAGTTCGGGGGTATTCAAAATTACCCAGTTACAGCTTTGCAAAGCCTTTATCTACCTGGTTTTTCCCATGTCAAGAAATTATTCTTTGGCTTCGGCTTAACCTAAAAACCAGAGTTTTGAAGAGCTGTCTAATTTTCATAACGCAAAGCTTCGTCATAGTGGGACGTTAAGGGTTGGAAATCAATGTTAATCCTTCCATAGCATATCGTATCAATGCTGTGATATCTTTTTTTCTAAATTATTCTAGAATTAGCTACCCCCCATATATTAGCACCTCAATGTTGCCGATGTTTTCACCCACATGGCCGCACTTCAAAGAAAATGCAAAATGACAGACGTACGTTAATTTAATCATACAAGTGCTAATTCTAGCTACGCACCTGTTCCTGCTAAGAGTGCTTCCTCCTTCTTTCGAGTCCATAGTGCTGAGTCATGGTGACAAAAAAGCTGAAAACAGTTCCGTTTTTGGAATGCCATTTCTGTTATGCTGCTACTGATCAGAATTTGTAAAGTAGGAGATATTCGACCGTCCTAAAAATGGCTGCATTTTTTTAACAATTATCAGGTCATCGATCGAGGACTAATGAAGTATAGCAGATAACGCGCTACTCAGAATCCAAGAATAGGTTAATTTTTTATGGTGAAAATCATTGGTCAGAAAAATTCATTGGTTTCATTGAAGAATTCAATTTTATTTGCTTCTTCAACTTTATTTGCTCAAATCCTAATGCTCTCTTTTTTTTTTGAATTAGGCCAAATATACCGTCCTTTCTTTCCTCCAAATTCATATTTTTGTCCACATAAAATACAAATTTTTTGGGTAGAACAACTTTCAAAACATCTGTGTGTTTACGCAAAAATGCGTAATCATGCAGAACTTGTCCAAAATCCTGTACTAGCTCCGCCCTCTGGCCGACCAATCACAGCGGTGTGACGGCCAATCAGACATTATCGCCGGTTTGAACGGGTTTATTGAACAGCATGTCATAGTAGGGTGATCGTGTGTTATTCTACTCTAGTCTTGCCATTTTGTTAAATGTAAAATTTTACACCATAAAAAAATAGCAATCATGATTTCTCCCCCCCCCCACTTAAATATTTACAAATTTTTCGTTCTTTTTTCAACTTAGACATCAAATTCGAGTAGTGTCGTCTTACACATTTTTCGTTCTTTGTTGTGAGGTTTTCCTTGAAAGATAGCTCTCACACTAAACGTGGCAATGCCATATTTGTCATCTATGTTGACTCTACTTCTCGAAAAGAAATTTGTTTTCCTTCTCTTTACAAGAACAGGATACGCACTATTCATGTGATCTTTTGCGCATGAATAAGGCAATCATGACGAAGTCTTTGGCCAAAACAGAGTACTACGTCCTTTTTCGGGGATCCCATTGCTGTCTCTGTTATCCTATGTCCATCATTTGGAAAAGATTAAGATTCTTGACGCTGAGGCTAAAAACCCGTAACTGCCTATGATGTTTAGGACACAAAACGGGTAAGAATAAGGGCTGAGCTGAATCAGTTCAAATTTAGAAAAGGCACAATTCTGCATTTTGGTTGTTTACGGACAATGCCTTAGCGTTTCACTCTACGATTTGTTCGCAGTGCAAATTTTGAAGATTCAAAACATCCGGTATTCTCGTGCTTCACCCTAATAATGAATGGATGAACTACGCATCGGAAATAATACACAACAATCCCCAAAAAATATTTTTGGGGGAAGGGGAGGAAAGCTTGAATCTTTTTCAGACGAAGAGCATTAAGTATGAGGTCCATGAGAGTTGGAATGTTTCTCCGGACTTTTTTGCAAGCTTATAACCCTGGCAATATTTTTTGTTGGGCTAATTCTTCACAACACATATCTGATAATTTTGATCGTTTATTTATGGAAGACAAACCGCTTCACGAACGTTTGCGGCTCAGTCGAGGCAAGTCTCTTGGTTTACTGCCTCACCGTAATCTAGCGGATTACGGTAGTACTGCTGTAGAAGCTCAATTTGTTTTATTAATAGCGTTGCTAGCCCGCATGTGAAGTTCTCAAAGAATTCCTAGTGAATTGACATTTTACCGCATATTTACCGTAATCAGGTAGATTAGGATTATGCAGCACAAAAACAATAATTCGCTCTTTAACTGCAAATATATTTGTGTGATTCGATGTAATTTTGAGAGGAAATTAGGTCAATGCGATGCAAATATAGAAGTTTAAGGGGGACTTTCTCTAATGAAGGAAATTATCGGTGACATTGCTTTTAAAGCTGTCCGTATCATAAAAGTAAGTACTTGTTTAGGCTGTCGAAATTGGCTGGGTATTAAGCTGCGGATCTAGAGAAGTAATATGATATAGAAAAAATTCGGGAATCTCATATCTCACTCAATTTCTCATGCATTCGTGCGCTTTGCAAATTTATATTCCTCAGAAATTCCTTTTTTCTCTTCTCGAAACTTTTCTCTGCTTCAAAATTACCAATCATAAATTCTCATTAGTTGTCTTCTGTTTGTTTTTTCCGCAACTAATTATGCACTCTTTTTGCGCAAGTATATCTATGTACTCAACGAAGTCTCGCATTCTCAATGGAATTCCAAATAGCTGAACTTTGCTCCGCCCACCGCGCTCTGCACCCTCCGCGTTCCGCGTGCTCTCTCGCCGCTGCAGCCATGCGGTGGGCGTGGCCAGCGGCCGTTCACCTTACCGCGTGTAACAGCCCAATTCAGATGATTTGCTAGCCGGTCGACCGCCATTTTCGCCCAGACTTTGAGAGCCTGATCAATTCATCGACCAATCAGAGAGCAATGTCTTGCCGTCTATCAACCAATGAGAGCTTTACACCTACTGTATTCGATTCGATCTCATGTGCAAGTTGTTTCTTCTATATCTATATGCTTGCACACCCCTATTCGAGTAAATATCGTACGTTCAAATGTCCGGCTGGATTGGCCATTTGCAGTCCAAACGAGGAGGATTGTAATTGTGATAATCCTCGGGTTGTCTACAATTTGCCTGAATATACGCTGGATAGGTGAGTCATTTTCTCTATTTTTCTTTTCTCTCATTCATCCTTTCATTCTCTAATGTTTGCCTTGTCATTTGCTTCTGCTTTTGTTCGAAGTTAAAGTTTGCCAATGTGCGAGGGTTTTTTTTTCTCGCTTTTGTTGTTTACGCCCTCGGGGCCGCGCGCAAATAATTGGTTTACGCCGACTAGTACTTGAATCCAAGTTCTTTGCAATTACTTAGCATACTTAAGGTAAATCTTACCCTAAAGTGATTTATATTTTTTGCAAACATTTTTTTCTTGTTTCCTACAAAGTTTGAGGCTTAGTAGCTTACTGTGTCAGAGACAGGATTAAGGAACCTCAGTTAATGTGTAGCAGTAAACAGAAGTGTAGAATTATGTATGTATCTCGATAAATATTCTCATTAGCAACATTGACGTCAGCTTCTCTGACAATTTGCTCTTAGATAGAATTTCCAAAGGGATTAGCGTTTGCCTCACAAAATATTAGCTCTTCACATTTGTGTAGTCCTCAGGGATTCGTTCTTAACAACATTTTTATCCCATCCATTGGTTTTCTGCTGTTATCCGTAATTTCCACTAGCCATGTTTTACTCGAATTTCCTAATGGATTAAGTTTGTTTCAAGACATTGTGATTCAATTGTTATTTTCCTACGTAGATTGGAAAGAAACTGTATATTTTTATTCAAGACTTCTACAGAAATTTTTTTACACTATTTTCCCTGTGAAAATTATTTCCTAGATAATAGGAAATTGTACTAGCTATTAGTGATCTATACTGCTATGTAATTTTCGCATAATGACAAAATTGAATAATCTCTGACTGCGTCTAGCAATCTGTCATGCAATTATGTCGACTATAGTGAGCTAAATATAGATGTCTAATTTGTTTCGACTTTTTATTTCTGCACTGTTGCTCTAAGAAAGTTTCATATAAGTAGAGTGCATCACGCAACTAGTGAAATTATTTCCGATGAACTTGTCAAAAAATTAGCTTTTTAATTTTTCAAAGGCTATCGTTTTGGATAAGGCGAGAGCACCACTTTGATCCGACTTTTGGACGCGTTGAATTCATTAAAGCCGGTGCTAGATTTTTTTAATCGCAGATTCTGCACTTTGTTATTTGAGAGTTGGAATTTCATAGAAAATGCCCTTACAAAAAAAGTTTTTTGCTTTTTTGAAATTGAAACTCATGTGTATAGACATTTCAATAAGCGTATCAATCAAATATTCGATTTTAGCGGGTTTTGAACTTGATAATAAATGTAAATTATTTTTAAAATTGCTACATCAATGATAGCCAACGTTGAATAGCTGTACTTTTTCTGTTGTATTCAGATGCATAGGTTTATATTGAAAGAGATTTATGATGGATACTGAAGTAAAAATGAAAGTTGTACAAACAGTATTTTTTTTACTGTATGCAATTTTATAATGATTTTCATTCATGGTACTGGGCCTTGACCTCTGATTTTATTTTAATCTACTTCAAAAAAAGCAAGCACAATAAAATCTAGTGCAATTCGCTGCAAATTTCAGAATTTTTGAACCTAAAATGAAAATTGTTGGAGTTCAAAGCGAACTTTGCACTATTCAAGAAATAGCTGAAGCAGATGATTGACGTTAAGTGCAGAAAAATGGATATGAATTGCTACATAATTGCACCAATAATTCACCGGAAATTTGACAGCAAGCTATTTTGATAGAATTTTTATTACGTTAAATATTATTGGTACAAATTCTTTGCTTTCTCTGCAAAGGGGAGCTTTTTACTTGAACATTTACAAGTTTTGAAAAAAAAGAGCATATTTTCGTAGGTCAATTGTTACATTGTTTTTGTGCATGCTTAAATTTTGGTATAGAAAGTAAGAATTGATAAATTCAACAGAAAACACTTGAATCAGAAATTTGTACTCTCTACTATAGTCCGAAACAAAAACTTGATACCTACCGAGAGTTCGAAATTTTTTGAATTTGGCGCCATTTTTGTGTTTACGAAGGATGGTTACTGTAGCGATCCAGAAAGGGGTTTTTTGCAAATACTATTACTTATAGCGAACGTATGATCAGTCTGATTTGCGATGCTTCCAAAGAGTAACTGAGATGGTCGAGAAAATATTCGGAATTTTATGGAATTTTTTTTTTTGCTGCACAAAAGTCTAACGAATCAATTTGCAAAAAAAAATATCTTGAAGCTATAAATGAACGTCCTTTCTCCAGGAATGGTACTTTATAGCATTCTGTTCCTTTTTAGTTTGATTACTTCTTTGAGTTATGAATGTCATATTGTGCAGATGCTAATAATTTCTCATTCATGTAGCTTATTTGCATATCTGAAGAGTTTGGGTGAACTCTAATGAGGCCTTGTATACTCTTTTCCCATGGTTCTTTGATTCTTGTATCCCCATGGGGGATTGCTCTGATTAAGCGTCAAAGAGCGAGATATTGCGATTACAAATGGGGTAGGGGAGGAGGGAGGGGGGGGGGGGGATGAGGTGAAGCGAAGGACTGGGAATAAGCATCGATTAGCTTAAAGACACTAGTTGGCCTGTACTATGCAAATTTTAGCTTAAAGGTGCTAAAAGCTTTTGGTGCTTGGTGAGGATGCCCTTTATGGCCTTAGGGTTAAAAACTATGTGGTTATTGGATTTCTTAAATTTACCCTTGGGTGAGGCAAAAACCGTGGTCACGGGTATCAATCTAATATGTAAAGAATCGTTAGCTCAGTTTAAAAATCTTCCATTAGCGGGATACCTCGGCGGGCCCTGAAGCGAACGCTTTTCCAAATAGCACCTTTAGATTACTGGTCCACTAGTTTTATTTTAATTTCAGAATTGGACTTTGAGACTATTACCTCTCACTTTTGAGGAAATTAATGTCATTCAGCAACATAAATCTAAGTCCTGGTGTTGTTCGACAAAATATCGTGTATCCTGCAGAAGTCTCGAGAATGTTGGTCCTGCGGAAGTCTGACAAAATATTCTTTGTTTTGCAGAAGTTTGAAGAATGTTGCTTTTCTTGCATAATCAGCAAGAATTGTTTGTTCGTTGCAAATGTTCCTCCTGAGACTTTGGCAAAGTGTTGTTCGTTCTGCGTAAATTTAAAAAATGTTGTTTGTCTTGCGAAGTTTGTAAATAGCTTCTTCTGGAAGTTTGGCAAACTATTCGTTGTGCGGAAGTTCGGAAAACGTTTTTCCTCTGCGAAAGTGTGGCGTAACATTGCTTCTTCTGAGAGTGCTGAGAGCGTTCTTTGTTCTGCGGAACTTTGACAAAACGCTGTTTGTCCTGCGAAAGTTTGGCAAGACCTTGTTTTCCCTGCGGAAGTTTTGCAGACGATTTTTCCGCCGTCAAAACATCTGTAACTCATTTGATCATGGAAACAAATCGTATAACAACATTTGGAAGAAATTCTACTTCCACAGGAAGTCGGCACCCACATGACGTCCTGTTTTTGTCTGGTGTCCATGATTTTCGCTCCAGCTGGACGACGGCTATTTCAAATTGCTGGGCTCGAAAGGAGGGGGGGGGGGAGTGAGATGTGCTAATTTATTGCCAGCTGCAGCTTGTAGAGTTCAGGTTTTGGCAGCAGGGGAAATGAAGTGCCGAACTTCCGCAAGACAAAGGACGTCTTACGAAATTTCCGCAGGATAAACAGCAGTTTCCAAACTTCCGCAGGACTTAGATCTACACTGCTAAATAATGACTTTTACTCCAAACCGAAACTTCTCCTCCTTCCCCCCCCCCCCCCTCCCCCCGCTTGCCCTCCCCTTCCCATTTTCCCACCCGTTTTGGAGCTAAAGTTGGTCGTAACCCACACCGTGTGAACAAAATGCGTTTCCGTCCTATTCAGCTCACTTTCGATGCACATTCATTGCCACGTGTGCGCACTGGTCGTAATCTCGTCCCATACAATCGAATTTGGGCGGACTAAACGTGCTTCCATGCCCATCTGTCATGAGCATGGGCATATGAGCAAAAAATGCAATGGACAAGGGAACAATCATATCTGCTGTGGAAATTATGGTCCAAAAAAATGAACTTCAAATAAACGCTGCAGTGGGGGGGGGGGGGAGGGGAGGAGGAGGGGAGGGGAGATAAGAGGAGGGAAAGTGACAGTTTGGAGTAAATGCCATTATTTGACAACATAAATCCAAGTTTTGCGGGACTTAACAGTTCTTTGTCCTGCGGAGATTTGCCACAACCTTCTTAGTCCTGCGGAAGTCTGGCAAACTATTTGTCTCACTACCAACGCTCCAAACTTGTAGAAAGCTTGCAAAGAAGCCGCAATCACTTGATTTACCTCCCCCTCCCCCCCCCCCCCCCCACCTCTCCCCTCCCTTCTTCAGCGTTGTAAAACTATAAAATTCAAAAACGAATTTTTCTGTCACAAAAGCTGTCGAGATCATGTCACATTACAACATAAGAGATATGTGCTCGCTCCGTTGACGCTTTTGTGTTCACGACGAGCAAAAAAATTGTGAATGTGAGGCCGTGAAGATGATATATGGACCCGAGCGATTTTAATGGCTTTTTGCTCTTTTTTTTTGAATTTCGACTCGAAAGATGATTAATGAGTGGAGGAAGTGACAATAGCGAAGGTGCTGCTCTTTCATGATGATGTAGGCAACAAATAAGGTGAATGAATAAAAATTGAACTGCTCTACAAAAAAACTGATTATACTGAATGTCACCATCGTTTTCAAACAAAAATAAAATCAAATATATTGCTTTGTTATGTGGAGTAGATAAAATAGTAGTGTGAATTATAGCAGCTGTAGAAAAAAATCAAATCTAATTATTTCCAATTCGCTCTTCCCGCGCAGAAAGGAGTTTAATTTGTATTCCCTACTTTTTTTGCTTCTTGCCCTGCCTGCCCTTTTTTTGATTTTGAATTTTTTTTGCATTTCGGACCTTTTCGCACTTTTCGGGTTCATGTATTATATCTCAAGGGAAATAAAACAGATGCAATGCAATTTATAGAACGATCAAGTGGAGTCTAAAAAAGT